AATAATAATAATAATAATAATAATAATAATAATAATAATAATAATAATAATTATTCATACACAATTTGATATCGTATAATATTATAATAATAATCGATATATTAAACATTCTCGTCATCGTAGTAATACAATTTGTTACCTATTACGCTGCGAGTTCTCGTACCTAATGGGTAAAAATTACGTAGCACTCGTATACACTAATAATAATTGTACGTATACCGTTTCTATGTATAAACACTTCGTTCACTCTCAGCTTAATCAAACGGCAAAAGTAATAAATGATAATATTACAATCGTTAATATTTTGCGCGAAAATGAAAAAAAAAAAAAATAAATACATTCTTTGATCTACTGCTGAGAGTCGAGAATGACGCTGAACACGCGTTTTTGTGACACAATAGAACATTTTACTCGAAAACGACATCCGTAATATTGTTATTTTCGCTTCGCTGTCTACAAATCGATAAAGTATATACGGGCTTTGAATATATATGTGTACATGTATACTTTGACTAACGGTTGAAGTTAACAATACTGCCAGTACAATACGTTAGATAGTAATACGAGTATATTATCGTAGAAAGGTTTCACGACTGAATATCAACAATTGGTTTTGTAAGGTGATGTCGAAGACGATGATAAATAATTTCCCTAAATGAATCTGTTGCATACTGACTTAACTTGGCGAGAATTCACTACTCGCGTGGCCCTTAATCTGTTTAAAACATTACAGTTTGAGACTACCCGTCAACAACGCGTGAGCAGCACGTCGTTTAACAATATTAATACGTCGCAATGGCACGAACTTACGCCATTGATAATAATTGTTATGTGCGTAAGCTCTAAGAAGAAAAAAAATATTTTTCGATCGTGAACAGTTAAACCGTCTGTTCGGTTGGTGAAAAAAACAATCAAACAATTTTCAGTTACGTAGGGGGAGGACAAAGTGTTTTCGTTTCGGTCATTATTTCCAAATTTGTCTTTCGTTTAATATATTCCACGACATAATATTGTAAAGAGATTATAAAATCATAAAACGGATTATTTAATTTATACACAAATAATTATAATACAATAATACATATACCATAATTTGTATTTATCGAAATAAACCGCGATCTACACGAGTGTCATGGTCGTAAACCGTTTGGTAAAATTCAATCCGATTTCCAACGAGTCATATAGTAGTTGTTCGTAAATATTGCGCGAAAGAATGCGTAAGCGATGTGGAAATAAACGACGAGATATAGGAATGTTATCGTCTCACCACACGCCTTTCCTAAAACTTTATTTACGATTTCGACAAACGGGAACCGTTTAATATATGAATGCGCGTTAAGGTTATACAAAACTCTTACGTATTTCATATACAAAAATGTATGCATGTAGATGTACATAAAAAAAAAAAAACTCATATTAAAGATTATTATCGCGTGCGCCGGGAAACATTTCGATTTTAATAATGATTGTGTTACGTACACACATTACACGCGGACGGACGTGTTACAGATATTATTTGGGCATTTAAATCGCGTGTAATAGTGGGGCAAGATTAAAAGTCGTTAAACATAACGTAAAGAATAATAATGATTCGAACGAAGTGTACTGAGAAGCGTAAAAAAATGTTTCGCAGCCACCGTGTGATTAGGTTAAAAATGTTTACTCGAATGCTTACGTATATGTATTATACAGGTACTGCGAGGAAAATATTTGCTCGATATAAATCGAAATAATATACTTACCTTTATGTCACGTATACGGTATACTATGTATATGGTACGTCAGTTCGAATACACCGTTATACACGATTTATAATGTGTGAGATATCGGTGTAGAAATAATAGTTGAAAAAAAAAAAAAACAAAAACCCACGACCATTATGCACACGAGTAAACGGTTATGTCGCAAAAGTTCAAAAACTGCCGAATGTCTACTGAGACCCGTATTTAAAAATTTGGCGCCCCGGGCATATAATTTATGCCTCCCCCCAAAAAAATAAATAAATAATAATAATATAACACTTATTATTTCATCCATCATCGAGATTCTTTAATATTAAAATATAACTTATAAATGACAATCGTTTTATACTTTTTTTAATTAGCAAATTATAATTTAATAAAAATACAATTTTTTTTTTTAATTTACAAATTATAACATAATAAAACATAATATTTTCTTTTTTTATAGTTTTATTTTTTTTTCATTAGATTCATAATTTTTAAAATTAATATTGCTAAAATATTTTACCACCCCTGAGACGACGCCCCGAGCATGTAACTATCCGTGCCCCCCCCCCCCCCCCCCGCCCCCCCCCCCACCCCGTACCCCCCCCCCCCCCCCCCCCCCCCCTAAACACGGGCCTATGTCCATCACAACCAACCGTTTGCAAAGGAGTTTTATAACGTATTACGTATCGACGTCACCAGTGAAATTCTATTTTATTTCGTTTGGTACGCAGGGATCTTTTTCACATCACGGTCTGCGGATTAGGAAGCATCAGCAGACATAAGCCTTTGCCCGCAGACGCGTAATAATATCGTACGCGCATGCTAATAATACGAGAGAGAGCACACTCCATAAATCTGTATTGGCAATTATTGTTATGTTGTGACACGAGTGAGAGTGTAGACGATTGTTATACGGCATCGCATAATATCGAGATTGGTTACCGTTTATAAAACATTCGTGTAGGTACGATTACAATGCGACTATTGTACGAGCATTTTATTGTACAACGTTCTCGTGTGTGATGAATGTACTATTTTTATCGTCGTGTAACGTTGTGAAAACTACTCAAAGCGCATTTTAATTTGATGTATTTTTCTTTTCTTTTTAAGTCGCAACCAAATATCGTAAGCGTCGTTTGTATTTTGCATTTCTTTTAGATTTGTATAATTAACGTGTTACTGAAATATTATTTTTGAAACTCATCTCTGATATTTGCATTTTTTCCGGATCTCCTGGCTCTTGACCGAGTACTTAAAACTTTATTCCACCCCAATAGGTTAGACCAATAGGTCTCGTTTCTACCTTCATCCATTCCGACAAAAAAATCTCAACTGATTAAGCCGTAAATGGTACCTAAAATCTACTCTTGTGATATTTCTTGCAAATGAAATTAAAGTCTTAATAAATACGACTATATTTTATTATTATAATTATTATTTGTTTCATTATAATAAAAATTGTTTGTGGACTTTCAAAATTTATATTAATAAAATAATAACTCATCATTGAGTTATATTATACAGTTGACAATTTCTCTTTACTGCTATGATCAATGACATTTTATATATATATATATAAGATAACCCACTCATACATTTTTACTTGTATCAAATTATCAAATAGTAGTATGTATTATTATTAATACCACTTTATTTTTTACTAACTGTTTATTCTAAAAATTGTCTTTGATCAAGATGTTTTGACAGTGGATTGTGGAGTGATTACATCACAGTAAAATATTTCTGTTGTTGAAAATAATAATAACGACTTAAGAAGAAATGTTAACCTAAAAACTTAAATAATTCGAAGCCAACCGAAAAAGCTTGATTAAGTTTTTGGTGAAAGTTTTGCAATGAGATTAACTAAATAAAACGTTATAGTGGTATTCATTAAGGAAGATTACTTGAAATGTTGACTTACCCAAATGGTCGACCATTAGATTTATACCTCATAAAGTCATAAACAATCGTGTATTCAAATACAAATACCTGCTGCAACAGTGTGTCATAAATTATCTCTTACGACCATTCAAACATCTTATTAAGTTAAAGTTTTATCGTGACGAAATGATTAATATAATTAAATTGTTAGATTTCATTAACGATATTAAAAAAATAAACATTTTTTATTGTTAAATATAAAAGAAGAATAACAATAGCATTTTACAGTTCACAACAACTAACCCACTGCTATTTCTTCGATCTTTGGGAGATTATTTACGAAAAAGAAAAATAGGTTTTAATATGGATTTTTTAAATAGTGTAGGAAAAATACGTATTTAGTGTCCAAAATAAAATTATAATAGCTGTCCTGGTGTAAATTAATTATATTTGTTACTACTTATCTGAAGAATGCCAAATGAATTGACAATTTTTAAATACAGAATTTCGACATAATGAATTTATGTAAGAATAAAAGTAAAATTAATAAAATACTATTTTAGAAAATAAAACTTACTCTATTAAATGACAGTAAGTCCGCTATTAAAATATATAAATATATGTCCCATAATTTCTTACTTACTGAATTGTTTATATTTTTTAACTATTTACACATCATATCACTTGAACAATATATTTTTTTATTTTATCAAGAATTTTAAAAAATTTTAGACAAATTATATCTGTAATAAAAAATTATAATATTTATGAATAAAATATATTTACAGTTAGTTTGTTAAATCGGCAGAATTTTAAATTTTTCGAAAAATTAGGTACTATTAAAAATAATAACGGACTAGGTCAATAGTTATTTACAATATTAGTCATTTAGAATTGAAAATGTATTGTAGTTAACACTAAAAAAAAACCATTAGGTACATATTAAATGTATAGAATTTAGATACATGAACACGGTAAGCCATAGATAGAAAATATGCTACTCTTTGGAAATAATAATAATAGTAAACAGGTACTTGCAAAATCGAGGTCTTTGGATAAGTGTCACTAGAATAAGAACACGGTTATTGGTCTCGACGAGTGACCTTGGTATGGCAAAAACTACCGGACATCCGGTTGATAACACGAGGTGGTCGGGTTGGTGAAAAATATTAAACCAGTACTTTTTTTGATTTGCTTTCAGTGTGATTCCAGAGCCGGTTAGTTCTCCCTACATGCGTGTGTTGCAACACTTCCGTTTCCATTGTCGACGACGACGGAACTGCAATGGCAGTCCGGATGGCTACGAAACAGTATTTTACCACCAACAGCAATAGTAATAATATCATCGTCGTCGTCCTGTACTTTACCATTCTTGTCTTGAATTCAGGTGAGTTTGAATACAATATTTACTGTCATCAAGCTAGTACATTTTCATATATTAAAAATAGTTCAAATGTTAAATATAAATGATAAACTGATAAACATTACTTAATATTTTGACTTCTATCAACTTTCAAAAATGTATTTATTTTACTGTTTAAATTACATACACCTTTTGTATACGTGTCATCATGTCGATTGTTACTGTATAACTATTACTCATATAAGTCTCATATACAATATTTTGATTCTCCTCTTAAAAGTTACAAATATAGCATACAAATACTCATATAAGAGTAGAACGTAAAAAAAAATTGTTTTATTAATTAATTTTGTTTTTTTAAATATTTACGCTTTCTCCGTACACCGGTTAAACGACAAACAATAATTGTTTAGATGATCTTTGAATATTTCTATCAGTCGCTCTCGGGAATTTACAATAGTAATATGTTGATTTCGTTTACGATCAGTGGCGATTATTTTTTTGTTCCCATCGCGCTGTACGGTTAATAATCGTTTTACGTCGATATAGGAGGGAGACCGTATATTAAAATATGTAGGTTAGTTTGGTGTTTACACAACGATCGAGAGTCAACCGAACGAGGTAAAAAGTTTTGCTTGTACCTACACGTGTTTTCGACGGCGGACGAAGGTAGGGTAGGAGATACGTGTTAAAGTTTGTCGGGACGGCCGTATTGTATTATTATTATTAGGTCGTTATTCAACTTTCAGCGGCACTCGCCTCCGTCATCCTCGTGGCGGCACACGCGAACCCCAATTACGTTAGCTTTTGCACTCATTAATCTATAAAATATATGTATATGTATTATTCATATTATATTATGATGTATACGTATGCATTTTTATCGAGTCTCTTTTGCAGAACAATTGTCTTTGAAGACAACGAGGTATATTAGCACGCCGAACTCGTCCTATGTCTGCTGCAGGAATTTAATTATAAATTATAATTGCCGCGTGAATTTTTAGCATTACATTTTAATATTTATTGGCTTTACGCGACCAGTTACTCTGCAGGGGTAACAAATATGGAAAATTGATCAATCGCGGAATTCTTCGGAAAAAAAAATTAAAAAATGGCATTTTTCATGTTCAAACATTTATTTTTTAATATAATAGTACAGCTTATAGTTTTACCAATGTTTTTTTATGCATCATACTTTTTAAAACCCAAAAATCACCCATCTATTTTTACAGTCCTAGAATTTCCATATACGTCGAGGTACACGCATACAATGTATAACACATTATTGATATAAAATGCTATCACATATAAAATGCTATCACTACACACCGACAGCATGTATGTATACGACGTTTTTCGGGATTATAGATCGTACCTATATTATTTTAACTTTCAAAACCACTTTCAATAAAATTATCATCTTACATGCAACACTTTTTATTTAATAGTTATTCAAAAGGAATGTGATGAAAAATCAAATAATAATATTAATATTTTTTAATATGTAAGATTTGTTATTGTGATAGATACGAGCAAGGAGTATATGAAATTTAATATATTCTGTGATACGAGTATCCATGGAAATAATCATACTATGTATAGATTTTTTTTATTTGTAATTTTAAATTATCGACTAAATATTTTTTTTTTTATTGAGATCTTAAAAAATGTTTTAACGTGATCTATATACCTAAGTTAATTATTTAAACGTAATTTTTTTTTCGTTAAACAGAAAAAAATATTAACATTGATTTATGTACATTTATGAAATTCACCAACTCATATTCTATTTTATTATTTTCAATAATAGTTATTAATTAAAATACTGCTCATATTAAAAAGTTACATATAAATTAAAGTAGAAAAGTAGAATTTTCAATGAAAAATATAAAATCGGTGAAAGCATATTTGAATGTTACCTATATAAATCGATTAAAGTTAATAGGAGCATTTTGTTTTTTTTTTTTGCTCGAATTTTCCGTACTTTAAAAAAATGTAATAATAAGAATTACATAATGTTCAAAATATATTTCATTCTGTTAACACAAAGAATATTTTATTATGAGTATAATGAGTTTAGTATATATATTGTTATATTATTTTCGTACAGTTTTAAAAATGATTAAATTATCGATTCTCTTTTATAGTTTTAATTATGAAAACAATATTGATTAATTAATAGTTGCTTAATATTCTTTATTAAAAATATAGCCTATTAATCATGATTTATATATATTTTTGGAATTATCTTGGATTTTATAGTAATTTTTTTTTTTATATGGTGGTTTATCGTAAAAAATTGAGCTTGTAATGTTATGAAAAAAATTACCCGAGCCATTTTTATAAGTTTTAAATATGATTTCAAAAAATCAAAATTATTAAATAATTCGTACAGAGTTAAAAATATTTAATGCAATATATATTTCTTTATATACATATTCATTGTCCGAATATGCTTGAAGGCACTACTCACAAAACATTTAATTATACGATGAAACAAATATAAGTAGTTGATTAGATACGACATAAGTATTGATAATATAGTATATTCAGAATAATCACAAAAAAAATCTTTTTTTAAATATTTTTACAGTGATAATTTTAAAAACAGTCATAAACTAAAATTGTAATAAGCAACAACAAAAACACTTAAATAATCTAAAAAATATCATACAAATTATGTTATTTGGTTTTTTAAATTTCTAATTTTTCAGAAATTTTTGAATTCACATTAAAATTCTATCACACGTAAGTAAATCACCATAACCTTACTACTAATTAAATTTTTTAATTACAATTTAAAAAATAAACGGGTATGTGTGATTTACTCATCCCCACCAAGAAATTGACGATACATGCATTTGGTAACTATACTGACTTTGGTATTATTAAATGGTATTGTTTATAGTATTATTACAAAACCATCGGTACCGTCCACACTAGGATCGACGAGTCCTTGTACGATCTCGTTCACTGACGATTTTCTTCGTTTCAATTGTTCGGGCATTCGTGGAGCGGGTGACTACAAAAATAATAAATCGAAACAAAAACAACAAGGCACTCGTATACGTGGTACAAGCTCTCTGTGTGAGAGAGAGAAAGAGAGAGAGAGAGAGAGAAAAATGTTTCTAAATCCCTCACGAGGACCCTATATTTTACGTGGTATCTGAAACTGTTTTCGCGCGCATTAAATGATAACGTCATACTGCTCTTAGCGTGTCGTTCCAGCAAAGTGTCGGGTGTTAACGAAATTATTACACTCGGCCAGTGATTTATAATTTAACTTAAAACTACGCGCCGTCACTGAGTTAAATCATATTTACTTCTGTTTTGCATTTAATATAGCTGCGCCGTGCGCCATAATGTTACTGCTATGCGCGTTAAACTCGTAAAGAGTATACGCGATAGGACAGCTCTGCTGAGACGACGATAATAATGAACAACTCGCGATCGCGCCTTTTTCCACGTTCTTCGGGTAAGCCGTATAAGGTCCACGCGGTCACTAAACACAGAACACAGTGTACATTTTACGGATTTTTATAATATATTGGCTAAAATCCTTCGCGCAATCGACGTTTATTTCAATACTTGCATCGTGCATAACAACGTGCGCAGATGATCGTTCTTCGCCTGTTACCCATCTGCCGTCATACAAGTGCTGTTGCTAAGAACTTTATATTTATTTACAAACCGAAAATCTGAGCACACGGGGCAATGTGCTATTATTTTTTATTATAAAAATCCGCTAAAATACTGGCTTCGAGAGGTGAATCGTATATATGGTTTTACGTTTTACGATTTTAAGTGAATAGGTCTGTGTAAATACATAGCTTAATACATAGATTGTTGCAGTTCAATATTTTTTTATTATATAATTGTCACCCAAGTCTTAAATATAAATTGTTTTTCTTCAGTAGCCGAATATCAAAAAATATTTTTAAAACGATTTTAAGATATCTGATAGTATTCAATTTATGTAAAATATAAAATATATTATGTTATACAATTAATGAGTTTAATAAATTATATTTTTGTACACAATTTTTTAATTAAACATACGAATTTACTTGCTGTCAAAATCTACTAATATTGATTTCAAACTATTGACATTATGATACGCTTGATAAGTTCAACATTCTTTTTTAAGTAATAATTATAAAAATATTAATATATATGAAATATATAAAACTTAAACATCAGCGTAGTATGCATGGTGCTGTGGGGGCTGTACCCCACATAGACATTTCTATAGCCCCCTCATTTTATCTAAAATTAATGAATTTTAGTTTTAAATGTTTTTATAATTTTTCCTAAAATTCATCAAGCTTTAAATATTAGCAGTCTCTTGTGTATTGACAATTATTGCACTAACATGCATAAGACTACTTATTTTTATCACAAACATGTTTATTTATAGATCAACGTCGTATTAATTTTTTGGATTTACCCTGTGCGATCATCCATTGTCGCGTCGTCCGATGATAATATTATAACGATAACGAATAATAATTTGTATGAAACACCACATAGTAATTATTTATCCATCGATATTTTCTCGAAATTGATGATTGATCTGTCTTTGTTGTTTATTCGTGTACTGCTAATCACACACCCATCTGTCTTATATTTTATTATAAAGCATATTATTTCATATATTTTTAATTAATTTTGATATCTTTGTTTATTTTTTTCTTGTTTTTCTTATTTTTAAAAAAAAAAATGTTCAGTATATTTAATATATTAATATATATAAAAAAAACCTGACAAGAAAACATTACCACCAACTAGGGACAACGAAAACTTTGCAGTGGATGATCCAAATCCAATAAATAGTAAAATTAAAATTAATAATTCGCCATTACCTGATGATTTTAACAATATTCAACCCGAGAATTCTGAAATTGCCCTTATTTCTGCTAGACTTAGGGAACTTGGAAACAGGACCAACTCAAATTACACTAAACGTAAGTACTAGAGGTGGGCAAAAAACATAGATGTTTTTATAACATCGAGGTTTATGTTCG